GCTTGACGACTTTGAAACTAGTATCACCTGTATCACTCTTTGTTGGAGCAGATCGATGAAGTTCTCGATGGCAATCGTGGTTTTGTCCGAATCGCTTTTGCGGGGGGTTTGGAACCTCCCAAAGATATGCGAGATGCAGATAAAGTGATGGACTGGCTTGATCAGCGTGGATTAATTGAGTTCGAGTGGCAGAGAGTTCGGGAGTTGATGGATAAAGCCAGGAATCTCGAAATACGTGCAAAGAGAGGAGGCGATCGGGACGACCAGGATATGTGAACTATGTTATCTTTGTTCACACTATAATTTGTACCATTGCCTACTTGAATCCTACGTAAAGCCAGGACTAGGGGCAGCACACGAAATAGGAATGTGTCCCACGGCTTGTCCTTTCCATCCTAAGTTGTGAACAAAAGCGCTCAATGTTCATGTCGTACTCACATTACCAGCCGGGGCAGCATCCAGCGGGGACAACATATCCGTATTATCACCCAGGTGCACCAGGCGCATATGCTCACCCTCAGACTCCAGGTTATCCAGCCTACCACCAAGGCTACGCCACAGGTGTGACTGGCTACGGCGCATGGCCATATCCATACACCTATATCCCACAGCAGCCTGCCCAAGCACCTTCTCAACAGGTAGCGCGGCCCACAGTACAGACAACGGCGCCGCCTGCCGTAACCCCTACCCCCACTCCAGTCGCTGCCACCCCGAAGACGACCACATTTACGTCATATACCCCAACCTACGCCCGAGAAACTGCTCCTGCTGCCACAACAGGTGGAGGTACTGGGCGCAGTAGAAAACAGGCGAATTTCAAGGGCCTTTTTTCGAAAGAACGTGCGTTCTGTTAGATCTTTTCCATCGAATTCTTTCCAGCCAGATTTCTCCAGTGAAAAACCTCATGTATGGTTTCGGCGATGATCGTAATCCCGCCAATGACACAGTAAACGTCATGGAAGAAATACTTGTCGAGTTCATTGCAGATATTGTACGTGTCTTCGTTTCTTGGTATTGCGTTATACAGACATGTGAGTGCCGAAACTCAAACAAAACATTACTTGGGGCAGTGTCAAACTGCTGGTGGTCCACAACGGAAAACACGATTGTCTATTGAAGACCTTCGTCGAGCTCTGTCGAGGTTGGCAGATGCGAAAAAGCTCGCTCGTATGGAGGAATTGTTATTCATGCAGGAGGATATTAAGCGTGCTCGGGCTCAGTTCGAGGAATCTGACATCACGCAGTCAAAGGAGTACTAGGGAAATTACTGTAGTAGCGCTGTCTTATTTTTTACATCATTGTTCTACATCTGTATTTTTTATATCTTGACACTGCAGATTCCATTCGCCAACATTACATTGTTTCCGATCCCGCAACATGACTTGTCTTGCAGACATGAGGGAGGAAGTTGTCGAGACTAACAAGGTAGTGGGGTTTCGCTGAAACAGTTCGTTCCACTTGTCATGGAATGGCGACTAAGTCAGCCATGGGTCGGCTACTCTTCCATTGCATCCGGCTCTTCATTGTTGGCTTGTTCTTCGGCTTCTTCAGAAGGAGCTCGTTGGGCCGTACGACCTTGCACACCTAGGGAACGTCAGTGATACATTATGAACATTCGCAAAGTTGCTAACCTCCACTTTGTGCTAATGGCTTCGCGAACTCTTGCAGCCATTCTTCTGACTCCCAGACTGTTGGAAGGAAAGACTGAGAGGAGGTCAGTAATTTGTCGAAATAGTACGTACTAGCTCTATTCCCATCTGGAGGTTGCAAGCTTTTCATAGGCTTGGCTTGGTTGACTTTCAGCACCCTGCCCCGTAACTCATTGAGATCCATGTTGTCGATTGCATCCTGAGCATCTGTAGGAGAAGAATATGTCACGAATGCAAAACCACGATGTTTGATTTCTATAGATAATCAGTATATGAACAATTTTTCATAATTGTCCGCTTGCCTGTCGGCTTTGATGGATTGGCTGGTGCTGGTGGTAGCTGTACTTCAATGATGTCACCTGCGGTTTCGAAACGTTTAGTGTGAAGTTGTCGCGAAACAGAACACTCACCAAAAGCCGCAAAATGCTCGTAGATCACCGTCTCATCAACATCATCGCCAATCCCCCCAATGAAAATGGTCTTCTTACCCTTGGTGCCTTCTTCCATCGAGTAGTACTAACAGTCTGGTGTTGGGCTAAAAATATTGTTATTCAATTGCTTAGTCAGCGGCTTCAGAATTCAATAAAAGTAAATAGGTCTAACTTTAGCGTCATGTAAGACATCCGCCCATCCGTCATCCGTCACATCCGAGGATGTCGCCACACTTAAAGGCGACCGTCGGCCTTCACTTCCTTCATCTATACGTCCTTGTTCACAAACGATTATGCAGAATATCGATAACATGTCATTTTGGGGATCACACTCCACTTTACTGTCTCTCTATCATTTCCTTTGGCAACAACAAAACCAGTCTGTTGTGAAGCGAGGGTTGAAATGTTATGCTATAGATTCGGAGGGATCCCACGGGTTAGTCGGTTTCCCTTCTTTTGGTTTTGGAATGATATTGAGGCTAATACAGGGTGTATCCACTCACCTTCGACGCCATTGATCTATCTGGATGCCCTGGTGCCGAGTTACCAAACGGAGCAACTTCCATGCTCATCCGTTCAGAGTATGAATCACTCTTTGAAAATATCTCCGGAATCGAGCGCAATTTCGTAGTGCATGGATCAGCAGGCATTGGTAAGTTGAATTCCTTCCAGAGGCATTGCTGCTCAATACAACTGATCATCCTTAGGAAAGACACATTTCTTAGCATATCTCCTCGTCAAACGACTTCTCGCTCGTCAACCGGTGACGTATCAAATCGACCAACTACACTCATCTGTCATGTGCTTCACCGCGGACGGGTTCTTCACCCTCCCACAGGAGAGCAGCGAGTATCACCCACTGTTCCAACGCGAAGACGTGTGGCACCTTGTCGACAGCACACATGAAGATCCCACCACGCACCCAAACACTGCACACACTCAGGCATTGATGTGGGGCACGTGTGGCAAGGCCATCTTCACCACGTTTTGGCCGGACAGTCTGGGCTTCAAAATTGACTGGTCACCTGGGTATGAAGTTTCTCTTCAACGGTGGATGAAACCATGTACTTGGGACGAGATCGTTGCGATGAGGTAAAATATCATGTTAGTGTTCTTCATGACGACTGACCATTACCCTTAGTGCTCTTACTGCAAATAAGCATGAAAAGCACGATCCAGAGGCCCTGCGATGGTCCTACACCCATTTCGGGTCCAACGCGCACGCCTGCATACAAGTGTCTCGCCATCCCGCCCACGCTGAATATTATCTCAATGAGCTGGAGTGCGCCCGCGATAATTTCTGGTTCCAGCATCCCATATTGCGCGAACATGAAGCCCTATTCAACCGTAACCTATTCGCCGTACAACCCGGAGACACCCGCACAGAGCCACTGCCCTATCCGGTCTCACAGGTTGCCAGCAGGCTCCTCGCAGACGGTATCGCTTCCTTAGACCCTTCCACTGCTAAGGACGCTGTCTGCAACCTGCTTGACTCAGAGGACACCGAGGAGTCGGGCAAGATATTCTATCGTCAGGCTGCGATAGCTCTTATGTCCAGGTTCGGAGGGGCCTTCGAGCTCGGATGTCCCGACTCACAGGGGCATTGTCAGCCAGCACACAAAGACCTAAACTTGTGCGCCAAGCTTGACCTCGTGAACAAGGAAGAGCGGGCTATACTGCTTTCAAGCTATTCATACTCCACCCAAGGCGAACTTGCAGCGCTAGCGAAGAATTATCCGCACGTTCTTCACTCGCCAAAGCATGCGCTCGTGCACCCAGGCATTGATGCAATCATGTTCGACGATAGCACCTCCACAGTCTGGCTTATGCAGGTGACGTATGGACACCCGCGCCCGATATCTCCCCAGGGCCTGCTCTTCCTTCTCAGTGCTGCAAGAGGCACCGCCTACGAGCCATCCCCCATCCGCCCCTGGAATCTTGTATTCGTATCCCGCGAGCAGCCAACTACAAACTCCTTCCAGCTAAGTGGGTCGAAAAAGACACAGTTTTTTTACTCTGTATTCTGGGACCCACGGATCAAACCATACGTCATGCAACTTCGTGATGTGGGCAGCTCTTCAAGTGACCCGTACGAGCAGTGGGGTTTCCCTTACAAGATCCCACAGAAGCATTCGATCAGCCTCTCACGGCGCCTCGCAAATCGACTGGTGGATCTGTTGCATAGGCCTCGGCGGGAAACTGTACTAGACAGTGCAGATCAGGTGACTGCAAGGCTTTGGAGTACGACTATACAGACGTCGGGGGTGCCGGGGGCTGAGTTGCTTGGGGAGATGACGAGAGAGCAGCCGGTTGGCCCCAATGGATTTCATACGCGAATTCCTATGAGTAACACAGAGGAAGACTAATGAGTCTATCACGATCTTGTAGAAATGTTGTGAAGTCAATACACTTTGTATCATACTCTACGTGCAACATCACCTGTTAACTTCAGCGCGGGGACGAGACACTTCGTTAGTCGGCACTGGTCGGTTCGCGTGTGATATACTTGATGACGTATTGATCAAATGTGTAATATAAATCGCAACTGAGTGACTCAGTAGGTACGTACTACACCACTTCTCAACTGTACATTCCCCAGCCACCTATTACTTCCTATCACACCTGCCATCAAAGCGTGTTTAGATTTTGATATCTGGCGGCGCATCACGAAATGGGGCTACCACTAGTAGGTGAAAACACTTCCTAATTAGATGCGGTTACAAGATAATTTGTTCTTTGTAGATCGCGCCGGTGTCATGTAATGGACGGATTTGTGGTGTGGAGTCACACCTCCTTCATCGGCCTGAGAAGATATATCCTCGAAAATTCAATCATGTTGACCCCATTTCCCTGCAATCATCGCACGCCCATCTCTTTTGGCAACAGTTTCTTGTCGCTTGTTTTCGATAGTGCCCGTCGAGCCGTTATTCTCGTGAAATACCAATTGGCATGCCGTGTTCCATCAGGCAGACAACCGCAAGTTGTCTTATATCACCCACGACATTGAGATTTAATCCTGCATGCACATCAGTGATGCGTTATTCGACACTTCCCTGTGGGTATTCAAGTTCATGACGGTTGCAATCTCTTATTCTTAATTCGATCTCCATTATCTGACCATGGCTTCATCCACTGAATGGGACCTTGAATCCCTGGCGTCCAGCACATCCTCGTCTCCATCTTCCTGTGACGAAGATGAAGTCAACGCTCGCGTTTCCCCTGACTGGGCGAAATACCGCTGTCACATCGAACGCAGGGGCTATCGTCTGGACACCGTCCGTGATGTAAAAGATCATTACCGGCACCATTGCAGCAACATAGAGAAGCAAGGGCTGCACGTATATTTGTCCGGCTATCACCGCGCCCTTGCCAGGAGCGACGAAGATGCTCTTTGCAAAGATGTTGGTCTGGTAGGTCTACTAGCAAGCTGTCAGGTGCCATGCGTGATTTCACTGATCAAACTAGCGAGAAAGCCTATTCAGAGCCACCCGTTGTCTTGATGGGATGAAGGTGATGGTCAAAGCAGTCCATCGTGATAGCAGGGAGCTTGATATCGTCCGGTATCTGTCTGCGCCAGCTCAACAATGTGATCCCATGAATCACTGTATACGTAAGCTTCCCAAGCAGATAGTTGAATTCTATTCACCATAAAAAAAACCAGCTATTCTTGACCTCATCGATGCACCCCAGGATAATCTGTGTTTCATCGTTATGGAGGAATGGTCAGCAAATATGTTCCCAGAAGCTCCAACTAGTCTCGGCTGCCTCATGGAATCTTTGCGCCATTGCATAGAGGTATGGAAAGGATTTGTCGAGTGTGTATACCATACTAAAAAGGTTCCCTCCAGCATATCACATTCATGCATCGTCATCGCATCGCACACTTTGACATCTCGCCGCGCAACTTCCTCACGGATTATAACGGACGTTATGCTTGCATAGATTACGAGCTCAGTCGCCGAATAGATGAGGTATCTTGTCCGCGGATATTATACTCTCGGGGGTCGGAGATCCCACCAGAAACTGAACATGGTCGGCTAAGTAACCCGTTTATGATTGATGTATGGGCACTAGGGGTTCTCGTTTTCAGAGCGTGCGAGGTTCGTACTATAGCAGACTACTTCCCACGGAGCTATGACTGACGCATGACTCAAATAGCTCGCTGAGTTTCACGTTCCCGAACTTGTGCATCTAGCCAAATCGATGCTTCATGAAAACCCTGACAAGCGGCCACCGGCCCCTTCAGTGCTGAAGGAATTTCAACGAATACAGGCGATGATGAGAAAAACACCACATAGCCATCACATCTCTCCCTAGCACGCTATTCTTTAGTCACATTTGGACTCAACATCAAACTCGGCATTGGACATTCATTAGTTGACATCGGGCAGGGGTAATAGTCACAAGTATGTACTATCATATAAGCACTTCAAAAACCATCTCTACGCTTATGATACCGGATCGTCACCTCCACTAGCTACCATCGCTTCCTCCTCCAATTTCCGCCTTTTTCTTGCTAGGTAACGTGTACGGATATTCTGCACGTCTTCTTGTGTATTCCGCTTTAATATTGTTCGCTGTCTTGCCTCTTCCTCATGGACCTCTTTCTGCTTTGACACTCGTTCACGCTCCTCTTCTAACTGTTGTTTGATTTCCCGTGCGCGGCGTTCATTTATTTCTCTCCGGCTGGCTGCTGTTCCTACTGCCTGGTGAGCTTGGACCTCACTCGAGCTGGAAGTTTGTTTCGTGATCTGGAGCCCAAGTCGTCGGGTGTTGGGAGCAGACAAATTTAAGCCAGCAGAGAGCAATTCTCGTTTGTCGACAATTTGATTGTCGTCGTTGAGTTCAACATCTTTGCCTTGTTCTTTAGCTAATTGCGCAAGCTCAAGATCTGATTTTGGTGTCAGTTCCGGAGGCTTGGTGATAGTTAGATTCGGAGCAGGTCCTCGTGGACCAATGATGCGTTTAGTCTCTGTTGCCGCCACTGCCTCTTCGTGTTTTTGCTCTGACTCTTCCAGGAGTTTGCGGTAGAAATGAGCCATGCCAGTCGGTGCTCCCTTCTGTTTCTTTTTCTCAGCCTCTAAACCAAAAATCAATAGTAAGTTGTTATCATCGCGATTAAACATACCTTCTCTCTGTCGTTCTTCTTCCTCCGCTCTCCGGACTTCGGCCATTTGATCCTTGTATGCCTGAGTGACGAAGGCTTCCTTGTCGGCGAATTCGTCTCCTTCGGCTTCCCGTTCTCGTTGCATCATCTTCTCCTCTGCACGCAAATGATCCAGACGTCGTGTGGCAGCCGTCGTTAGAAGTCCTTCGATGTACTTGGGCTATATAACATTATTAACAAAATGGTTCCAGCGGCACGGATAATTAAAAACGCACCTTTCGTTGTTTGGAATCAACCTCTTTCACCTCTTTCTGCTTGAGTTTAACTTCTTGCATCCTATCCCAAACTTCATCATACTGATACACCGTAGCATCAACCTTCATCTCTTGCTCCATGCGTTTCCTCGCGGCCTTCGAAGATTCGACATTCTGAGCTAATAGCTTTTTGTTCGCTGCTGCGCCCTTATTATCGGATAGGGTGGGAGCAGCATCCACAGGGTCATCATCACCAAGGGATGCGAACGCTGCCGGTTTCTTCAGAGGTGGTGCCGCACCGACTGGCTTTGCGGTCTTGGGGAGGGAAAAGGAGAGCTTCATGAAATGCTGGGTTATGTAAGCATGTTAGAGCTGTTTGATAAACTTGTTCCTTCGTTGAATGCAACGTTATGGCACAAAGTGCGAACGACCGCCGGCGGATAAATGGACCAGAAGAGAGCTTTACGCCCGTATTCGATGATGAGGATGATGAGGATTTCAAGTTGAAAACTCAGCGCAAGCGGGGACCTGGTGATATTAGGCCGATTTGTCGGTGCCTTCTCTGCGTTTTTGTTAAATGGTGCTGAATTTTCGGACAGTCCTCCAGCCAGGTCTTATAAGCCAGGCCAATGGATCTGCATATATCGAAACAGAAAAAACCAAAATTGCATGCGCTGTGTACGTTCGGAATCACTTTAGCCTTCATCAGGCCCACCTTTTCTAAGTGCCGTCATAGGTATGGACCACGGCAGTCTAAAACTACTACCTACAGCGAAAAGGGTCGACTGAATGTCGAAGTCAAGTTCGCCCCTTTCTCGTGTACGCGTCGAAGGGCACCGATGCGCGTGAGTTATGCCTACCCCATGCACTTAACGTATTGAATGTCATAGGCTCCTCAAGGACGCCGAGGATAGATCTATTGGTGTATCAATACATCAAGCAATCGTATCATCAATACGCTTGGAGTTATTCCCAAAGTCGACCATTGATGTTTTCATCACGATCATCGAGAACGATGGAATTGAAGGCTGTATCGCATCTGGATCATTGGCTGCAAGCACTGCACTTGCTGATGCCGGAATTGAAATGTTGGGGCTCGTTGCATCATGCTCCGCTGTACGTGATTCTGTTTTCCGTTTATAATTAAGCTTATATCTGGTCAGGCTATTGTCGGAGATGGCATTCAACTTGATCCAACCGAAGCTGAAGCACGGGCCTCCAGCGGCACTGTGATACTTGCTTGTATGCCGGCATTGGATAGTATCACCAGCATCTGGCAGTCGGGACAGATGTCCGCTGACTTGTCTTTGAAGGTAATAATTTCCGATCAACCACAGCAAACGCTAACGAGGTACCGCAGTGCATGGAACAATGTTATGAGCGGTGTAATGATATTCATTCGGTAGTCGCGCAGTCTCTACTTGAACACAGGAAAACCGATTGACATCGCTTTCGGTCTCCGAGGTGCATTATCACTTTTCACACATCAACGTTGGCCGTTGTACATGATATTGGAACATATTTGTCAGGACGATGTCTGATTTTCAATTTTTAACTAGTGGTTCTAACTTCACAAGAACAAGAAAAGTTCCAAGCCTTTCGTTTGTCCCATGCCTATGTAGTATTAACCGACGACACAAGTGTTCGAACTAGCACATCCATTGGTAGATTTTTTTCTCGAGGTCCCTCACGCGCAATCCTCTTCGAAGTTCGGCACTATAATGAAGTTGTTACTTGTTGTGACGAGTATTTGGATTATATGTGAGATTCTCGGGTCTATAGCACACGCGTCACGTCTACACGAGTTAACGAGAATTGTTTATTCCACGAGCTTGTGGTCCTTTCTCAACCGCGAACAGGTCTGAAAGTTTCACGACTTGTTTTAGACAGCGTTTTTTCCTATTCCCAGGACCCACTCACTAACAACCGAACCTTTGTTTGATGCCGGAGTTGTTATACGAAAATGATCTTTCCCCACCCGCCTCTCTCAAATCATCGGGGGAGCACCACCATCTCACCTTTGTTTCAGCACGCGCTTCTCATGACTCGTCGGATTCCCTACGGAACCTGGAGCTCTCGGAGGGACCTATTGCAGAGAGAGGGCGGTCAAGATCCTACTCGATGACGGGCTTTGACTTCCAGCGCGACCTATTACCCTTGAGCTCGAGTTTAAGTGAGCCGGATACTACCTCTTTCGGAGAAAGTGGGGAGAAAAATATCACATTGCTACATGGTAAGTTATCCTCCTGGCAACATAGCGCGATATAAGCGGTTCACAGTGCACAAAAGGGATTGGACTCATCGTCGGCCTTCAAGTCAGTTCATCTATTTAATCCCATACGCGCAAGCCTGATATATTATCTCAAAGATTGGATCAGGAATTTTGTGAGTAGACCAACCAGACAGGCTCGAACCCCAATCTGCAACTGTTAGTTAGTTCCTCACCAGGAGTCGTAGTTGCGAATACCCAGAGTGTGGGGGCTAGCTTGCTTGTATGGCTTGTTTCTGGATTGCTTGGTTGGACGGGGGCCAGCAGCTTTGCAGAACTAGGGTTCGTCTATTCCACGTATCATGTTACTGGCGAATGATAAACGCCTTGGTTTATAGCTCCAGCATACCATTGAACGGTGGAGCCCAGGCCTATCTCGCGTATGCGTACGGACCACTTGTATCCTACTTGTTTGCATGGACAGCGATCTCAGCACTGAAACCTGGTTTGTCTTCTACCTGAATTTCAGTGAGATTGTCAGATATACATCCAGTTACATTACAGGTGGAAATGCGGTCATTAGCCTCATCTTTGCAGAATATCTGAACCGGCTCGTGTGGCACACTGCTCAGGACGAGGTAGCACCAGATGACATGCCCCAATGGGCCATCAAACTCACTGCGGTGGCAGCAGTACTCGGCGTTTCTATGATTTGTGCAGGTACGCGGAATTTGGGCACTAGGGCTTCTGTGGTGTTCACCACAGTGAAGGTATGTTTGTTACTAGTTGATATCGTTTCTATCTAATAACGGCCCGACCTGAGGTCGCCGCCCTCGTGAGTGTTATAATACAAGTACTGAGTGGAGGCTCATTCCTCGTCAGATATTTGTGATCGTGCTAGGGATGATACAACTTATTCGGGGGAAAGCGTCAGAATCATTCTCTCAACCTTTATTCGAGGACTCGAGTCATAGTCCGTCGGCATATTCATTAGCTCTTTACTCTGGGCTATGGGCATTCGACGGATGGGATCAGGCCAACTATGTCGGAGGTGAAATGAAGAACCCCGGCAAAGATATCCCAAGAGCCATACATTCAAGTATGGCGGTTGTGATGGTAAGTAACAGAGGTGCCATTTGAGATGTATAGATGTTGAGCCCTTTCAGACACTTTTCTTATTAGCAAATGTGTCGTATTTCGTGGTACTAGACAAAGTCATTGTTGGTATGAGCAACACGGTTGCCTTGGACTTTGGTCGAGCACTCTTTGGACCAGCAGGCGGTGTGGTTTTTGCTGTGATGGTGGCCATCTCTTGCTTCGGAGCGTTAAATGGTGGATAGTCCCTGCATAATTTCCAGGTACTCGTACTTATCACCTACAGGGAGTACCTTCACTTCTGCGCGCCTTATTTGCGTTGCCGGACGAGAGGGATACCTTCCTGCAATGTTTGGTCGTTTGAACAAGTCGAGGCAAACACCAGTCAATGCAATCCTCCTCCAAGCAACCATCACTATTGTGTTCATCGTGTTGGGAGGTGGGTTTCGGTCGCTGATCAACTTCTCCGTTGTGGCGTCCTGGTCATTTTTCTTCCTTACTGTACGTTTGGGCGTTCCACGTGTGCTATCATGATCTGATCTGTTTTTTTAAGGTTCTGGGGCTTGTTATACTTCGTGTGAAGGAACCAATGCTAGAAAGGTGAGTCGTCGGCACCCAATGTGCTACGGAGTTGAAATTAATCTCGAGATCAGACCCTATAAAACATGGATTGTGACCCCGCTGGTGTTTTGTGCTGTAAGGTTTATAATTATTTCCAGGTGGACGTCGGCTAAGACAAAACGACAGGTTGCGCTATTTTTGTTGTGCATGCCAATTATCGCAGCACCGCTAGAAGCTATGGCAGTTTTAGGTGATTGATGAGTCCTGCTATAACGAATGGAACTTCTGATTTCGTCACATCTGCAGGGTTCGTGATGGCAGGGATACCGGTGTACTATTTGACGAATCCGAATCGTGATCAAGCCAGTTTGCCTGCCTTTCTTGGTGAGTTGACTAGTTTTACGCTGACATCAAATGATGACATCGATGTGTCCCATCAGGCTTTTTCAGTACTTGCATTGCTAGAATTAGAGGGCAGACGTCCGTTGGCACGGGGTGGGTAGCGGTGGCCACGGAGGGTGACGAGGTGGAGATGCTTGATAATCGGACATGAAAGCTTGACGCTTGAACGTTGATGATGATCAGTGTTGCACGATCTTATACATGATGTTGACTTGTATGCACACGACGGATGTCTGTTTTGGGAGTACTAGGACATGTACCACACGGGAGATTTAGGACACATGTCGGCAAGCTCCGTCGAGCAGTGTCAGCGGGTGACGACAGCGCGATTTGGGCTGAGTCGTTGTATATAAGAGCCTTTCGGTTGTGAAACAAGCCACATCATCCATCGACGAGCCTTCATCTGTACATAATTCTTATCTATAGCATCAAGTATGGCAAGCGAAGTTGCTGAGCACAAGTATCAACTTAATGTCAAGGTCTGTTGCCGATAGATCTGCTTGTCAATCTGATACGAACTGCTGATCGCATAGATGACTTGCGGGGGTTGTTCTGGAGCTGTTACTCGTGTACTGACCAAGGCGCAGCAGGAAGGTGAGGTGGTTATGATGAATGATTAGTACAAGGCTAAGTGAATGAAATACGTTAATAGGATCAGTTTCGAGTTTTGATGTCGACTTGGGGACCCAGCTTGTGAACGTCACAGGTCCTATCGAAGAAGCCGTTCTGGTAGAGAAGATTCGGAGGACGGGTAAGGAGGTAAGGCGCTATGTCATTGTCTTCTAGACCTGGGGATAACTTATCGAGTTCTAGATTATCTCGGTTACGTCTCTGGATGACTCGTCGGTGGCCGAAGCGGCAGCGGTTTGAGTAATCACAGGAGGTTTTTCATGCCCGTTACTTATTTTTGTCTTATTACCCTGGTGATTGTTATATATAGAGTTTTGGCGCCTGCCGTCTTGTCACGTGGCAAGGTGTTACTGCATGAACTATTAGGCTCCGTCGTCATGCCATATCTAAATTCCAGATACATACGACTTAATACGTCGGACGACTATCATACTTACTGGGGATAGTACGGATGCGCACTCGGTAGCCCTACACGTGAATGATGACGTGACGGCTTGCGGAACCGTGTCTGGTTTGAACCGATACACGAGTCTGTGAAAGACTAGATATCAGGCTTCTGACCGAGCCATACCGGGTTTTACTTTCACTACCATGATTCACACTCCTTTCTGTGCTATCCTCTTGTAAGCTTGGTCTGAATCCCTTACCCGCTTCCGAGCTAATTCCCTTTTGGCCTCATCCCGACTCTTCTCTCCTTTAAACCTAATCTTCATCTTCTTTAACTTCCAACCCTGCCTACGAATCTGCGAATTAGGAGGAGTCTGCGCCCAACTTCATGTCCTCGGCTAGTCTTGCAACAGCGTCCAGCACCGCGCTTCCTCCTAATCCTACCACCCCTGCATTCTCGGACGACCTTGAATGGATCACGGCATATCTTACAATTCACTCCCTTAGCATTCCCAGTCGGCGTTATTCCTTTCTTATCTGGATTGTTGTCGTTTTATTTTTTCTTGCCTTCGCCATCTTGCACTGGACGGGCTCAAGGGGTGGTTTTCTCGGAGCCCTTTGGACAAAATGGACTCTCCGCCGACGAACTTGGAGAAAGAAACACAACATCGCACTTGCTCTCAAAAACGACTATTCACACCGCCAGCCCAACTCTTTGCCTTCCAATGCCCAACTTCTTTGTTTGGCACTACTCTTGGGAGGTTCCCTAGCCCTTGCTTTTGTCGGCCCAGACTATATTTCTCCGACTCTCAAGGTGTGGCAAGTTCGCCGAGATATCCCCTTCGTGGAGCCCCAGCGTCGTAATTTTATTCCCAACATCGCTCCCTATTTACCACTTCAACCACAATATACTATCGATAAAGCATGGTGGACTTCATCAGCACGCACAGGGCAAATCGCATTCGCTCTCCTTCCTCTTTGCGTGCTTTTTGCCCTCAAAGCCCCCCCTTTCGCAATCTTTGCCATTCCTTTCATGATACAGTTCTTCTTCGACAAACTCGCTTGGCTTCACCGCTGGACAGGCAGGCTGATATGGTTTCTTACATCAATTCATGTGGCGCTCTGGAGCGTTCAGCTCGTCCAAGACCATAATCCCAGTACTGGTCGTGTCGCATACGTGTACGCTTTCTCCTACATGCCCTTCATATTTGGCTGGGTCGTGAGTCAGATTTCTCTTTCATGTTGAGAGTCTGATGAATTAGCTAGGCGTTTGCATTGCTAACATCCATAATCGTTCTGTCCATGAACTCCATTCGAAGAAACTTCTATGAAGCCTTCTATTTCTTGCATGTTTTGCTTGTCCCACTTATGCTCGCCTCTGCTGCATTCCATCATCCCACCCTCTGGTGGTGGTGTTGGGGTGCTCTCGCAATTTGGGCAGGTGAACGCCTTTGGCGGTGGACGTGGTGGTTTGCCGCAAATACTTCCATTCTAGGTAGCAGTTCGTCATCTAAGCGCTTACACCCTACAATAAGTACTGCCGACACGCTTGAGACGGAACATCTTCGCCTCCAGTCACTTGATTCGCAATCCTTCCGTTCACCGAGCTCTTTGAACCCACATCATCAGTCTGACAAACACACAGTTGGTCTACATTCATCATTGCTGCCCATTCGTCTACCCACAGGATCGCTCGAACTGGACACTGCTAGGTCCACAATACACCATCCCTCTCCGTATATTCCTCCTCCAGGGTATGCCCACGCTGAACTTCTCTCTGGGCATACAGTGCGGCTGCGTCTTATAACCCCCGGTTTTCTACCGTGGGCTCCGGGTCAACACTTCCTCATCAAAATCCCCAGCGTCTCCCGATTCACTACCCATCCTTTCACCTGTGCTTCTGTATGTGACTATGAGTCACCTACAAACGAGGGCCGCTTGATAGTTATGCTCATCCGTGCAAGAAATGGCTGGACTCAAGATTTATGGAATTTAGTTTCCCGTATGACCGCTGAGCACTCACCTGGTGACACCCCAATTTGCGCTGCAGAAAATCTTCCTAGTCACGGTGTCTTGTTGAGGACATATGTAGACGGACCTTTTGGTAGTTCGATTCGCGCTCGTTGGGGGAACTATTCGACAGTGCTGATCATTGCTGGTGGCTCAGGAGTGAGCTTCGGCTTGTCTGTGCTGCAGTACATATGTATGTGCCTTTCCGGTCGGGACGGGAAGAGTTTGGGTGGCCAACCTGGAGGTTGGGGGAACAAATCATTCCTAACCAAACGGGTACGCTTCGTATGGCTTGTCCGTGAATATTGTAAGTACTCAAAAACTTTCGTTCGATCATTATGAACTAATGTCACCCTTGTGTAGCTCACATACAGTGGTGTGCTTCTATTGTTCGCCGTTGTCTTTCCTTGGTACCATTGTCTGCATTGCAGATCGACATCTTTATTACCAACTTCAAACCCATTGCTCTCAAGAAATCCGATATCCCTCCTTTGCAGGTTCCTCAGCGGCCACTCTTTACTTCTGAGCCCGTTCGTTTTGAGGACCTGCAGCCTCCTCACCCATCCTTTGCACGTGACAGTCCTTCGTCGTTCCGCTCTGATTCCAACGACTCCCTTGACAATTCCGATAGTGATATTGACCTGAGCTACTACACTGGAGAATCTGGGGACCCAATGGCACCAGAGGAGGATATTGGCTTGGCGCATGAGTCTCACATACTTGAGTTGACCAACTTCGATGGTGACGATGACACTGCTCTGCCAGGGGAACACAATCTGTCCCGCAAGGTGAAGAAGGAAGGCAAGCTGCGACGAGCTCAGTCGCGGAAGTTCTCCAGTGAGAAAACGGTGCGGTTGCTGCAACCTCCCAGTCGTCCTAGCAACATGCAGCTCGCTGCGAATGGAGTATCTGCTATTTCTGCCACCTCAGGACTTTCTACGAACAGACTACTGCCATTATCTATAAATTCGGACAAGAGGTGGTCTGAAATATCAATGGACACCTTCGCATCTCCAACCTCCATGTACGGCGATTCACCGACACGCGGTCGGCAGTCGACGTACCATGAGCCTACCTTCCCCCTGAGTGGTCGTTCTTCTCAAATGGGTCATGCAGGGCCGTCAACACCCAGGTATTCCACCGGTAGCTGGGAAGGCAAATCAGATGCTGGCAGTTCCCGGGGTCTGTTACCATCTTCCGCACCCAATGGCTTGCTCGATCCGGTCCAGTTTGACATCAGCGAGGAAGAAGCACGGGATATTAATGTTGTTGCAGAGCATGCACGACTTGGTAAACCCAAGCTTGACAGGATACTTGCAGATGAAGTCGAGCAGTCGGAAGGCTCCGTGGTGGTTGCTTGTAAGGTCTATCTCGCTGGCTTTTCGACGGTGCTGATTTGTTCTGCTCAGGTTGTGGTCCCACCTCGCTCAACGTGATGGTTCGCAAAATCATTGCCGAACAGATCGACCCTGGGCGGGTCTGGCGAGGTGATATGCGCGGGTCGATATCACTCATTTCCGAGGAATTCGAGTATTGACGATTTACTGTGACATTTTGTTTCACTCTTCATTTCTGTGAATATCGACGATTCATCGGGACATTTCATTGTACTCTTCATCGAACAATATTACCTTTACCATGTATCGTTTTCACGTACATTTTCCCCTCACATTTTGTATCTCATCTCAGCATCCGTTGTAGTCGTTGTCCGGACATAACATAAGTCCACTAGAATAGTCGGTCAATGTATTCCTCGTCGGGTCTGTTGACGTACGTATAAACCCATCAGTTATATACTCCTATTGATGTCAAACGCGCCAGGACGCCTTATACAGGTGGCTTGACAATTCCCTGGCTGATCTTATAATAGACTGTTGACGTGTCTTCTGAGGTAATGGCCACATAAATCTCTGAGGGTAGAGGATCAAGGCTGGTAAAAGCAGCGCGAAGCCTAGGGATGCGTTGAACACAGGGTAGATCCAGAGGTGTTCTACCGAACGTACCACGATGCAGATATTGACTCGGACAACGAGCAAGGTACTACAATGCAGATGGACGGCACTCGGTCCGTGTCCTGTCGTGCACATCAATGAATTTCATACGCTGGCGCAGAAAATGCTAACAGGAGTTGGCCGTTTGCCTTTGATCGCGGCTCGTTTGCAAGCTGGAAGGTCGAGAACCTCGACATCGATCCATTTTTGTGCTGAAAGGAGGCCATGTCACGAATGGATCATAGCCCACAAAGGCTGCGTACCGAGCGTCAGGTCATTGTACACCTGGAACAGCGCGCCTCCGGTTGCAGGATACTTTTCGAGCAGTTGCGAGAGCACCGGGTACTACACGCAAAAAAGGAGTGAGGATCCAGTCTTGTAGCGAACGACTTGTCACTTGCAGATGGATGATTTTGCATGAGAGCAGAATCTTAACTCGGTCAAGGTTACCTTGAACGTAAAAGATCACGCGAATTACGTGGTAGTGCTATGGAAGTCTGCGTCGAGTCATTATGAAGCACTCCAGACAAGATATTCGTCTTGGTAATCGCTAGTAGCATCCTGAGGTCTCTACTAGTACTCCTCAGGCCTCTGCGCCTTGAATTCAGCATTTCAAATTGTCGTCCACAACGATTTGCATTGCAGATATCACACAAAAGGACCATGTCAGATTCCGTTGGTAGCTCGTCCATCACGGTGCCAGAAGGGTTTACGCTTCACACGGAAAACACGTCCCACATCCTGATCTCATCGAAGGAGGAGGCATTTTTGAATCCAGTTCAGGAATTCAATCGGGATCTCAGCGTCGCGTGCATCAGAGTATGGAGCGAAGAACTGAATAGGGAGAAGGAAGCAAAGTGGAAGCAGGCTCAGGAGAGACGAGCGAAAAGGGAGGCGGAAGGTGAGGTGAAGACGGTGCAGCAGAAGAAGGCAAAAAGTGAGCATCTCTCGCGAGGTATTCAAAGTCTTCTGAATGAATGATTGTTACAAGCGGAATCTACTGAACCGAGCAATGATATCGATGATGATTTACCAGGAGATGTCTCTACCACCGGAGGTACATCTGAAGGCAACAAACGAGAGGTATTAGTGGGTTACTTCATATTCTGCAATAATGGTTCTGAATCATTGTCTAAAGTACCGACCCCATAAGTTTGTGCTACTCGAAGCATTGTCGGCGACGGGTCTTCGGTCTATCCGCTATGCAAAAGAGATCCCACTTGTGAGGTTTGTGTCCGATTTTTGTAGACAGACATGCATTTCATCGCCCTTCAAGATTCGTCATCGCGAATGACCTGTCTGCGTCTGCCACGGCTGCCATGAAGAGAAATGTAGAACTCAATGGTCTTGGACCCTCATCTACTGGTCCAGCTGACAGCGCGTCGTCATTTACGGTATCGGAGCACCAGCCTCTCCCTGATCGCGGAAAGGTGAGAATCAATGAGGGCGATGCATGGTAAGTCCTTGATTCTCGAGCTGTAGTTTTGTCTAAGGTACATACTACGTAAGTGCGCTCATGTACAACCATCGCACAGAGAAGACACGTGTCGATGTTGTCGACCTCGATCCATATGGGACTGCTGCACCCTTTATCGACGGAGCTGTTCAGTGCGTCAACGACGGAGGGAAGTCGCCTACAACTTGAATGCGTGCCTCACGTCAGGGCTTACTTAGGCACCTACAGGACTTCTATGCGTCACATGCACAGATTTGTCAGTTTTGGCGACGACAAATTACCATGAGAAGTGGTACGTGGGCCGGTTTGCAACTGATAAATGATTGATGGGCTGTGAAGTTTCTCAAATTACGGTGGTATTCCTGTCAAGGCAGAGTACTGCCATGAGGCAGTATGGGCGTCCTCATGATCAAGCCGAACCTCACTGACGTCCCTGAAGGCTCTCAGACTCGTGTTAAACACATTGTCAACCTCGGCAGGCCGATACGGAAGATACATAGAACCGCTCCTGTGTCTATCTATCGATTTTTACGTTCGGCTCTTCGTCCGCATTCACTCCGCGCCGATAGAAGTCAAAAAGACTGCCAGGCAAGTTGCGTCATGCTATGATGTTATCACATCGTCATGCATTTCGTTCCTAGCAAGACAGCAATGTATTTCGTATGTCAAGGTTGCCAGGCATTCTACGAGCAGCCATTGGGCCGGATCGTGGAAAAAGTGCACGAACGTTCCGGCAACGTAAACCTCCTGTTCAAGACTCAAGCGGGCCCCCCTGTCCCACAAAAATGTACCGAGTGTGGTTCTGCGTTGCATGTGAGTAGAACAAATCAACTCGGATCAAGGGTAATGAGTCATGTTCGTGGCAGGTTGCTGGTCCAATGTGGTCTGGTTCATTACACAATAATGGCTTCATCTCAAAAGTGCTCGAGCACTTGGGGAGTAACCAAGACAGATATAGTACAGCGGTCCGCATGAAAGGAATGCTAACGGTGGCCAACGAGGTACGATCTGAACTATATCTACACCGCAGACGACCGATCTCTGCCCTTTTAGGAGTTGCACGTCCCATTCTACTTTACCCCATCCCGGATAGCTGGCTTCTTTCACTCTGTTTGTCCCCCTTTGGATGATGTGGCGTATGTCGTTATCTCTGAAATGAAAAGCATTCATGCGCTGAAACTTCATTTTAGCTCTGCTCTCCTGAACGCCGGTCACACCGTATCGCGTTCACACGCTCTACCAGGCTCTCTGAAGACTGATGCGACGCGTCAAGATGTGCACGACGTCTTCAGATCTTGGGTGAAGAAGCACCCCGTGAGAATGGACAAGGTCTCTGAGACCTCTCTCGCGAGGCAATTACTCGCAAAGGAAGCAAGGTAAGTGCCAGTTCTAAGAAATAGACTTTACCAGCTAATCACAAACTGCATGTAGGACGGAGGCCAATTTCACCAGACACCCTCGATCAGTGACGCAAGCATCAAAAGTAAAACTCGTCCGCTACCAGCAGAACCCAGCTCCCAATTGGGGCCCCGGCACGAAAGCAGACACCGGTACGAAGCGCAAACGCGAAGAGGAAAATCCATAGCGTAAATCAATATCAACCTAGTGTGTACCCATCGGTACAACAAATATGCAATTGTAACAAGGTACATGCGTGCGAGTATGGTAATGCCAAATAACGTTAAGTAAACATCCCAGCAGAGTGAGAGAAAGAGAAATGTAGATGTGGGGATATTATGCCGAGATCTCGATAGTTGGAATAGACTTGAGTGCTGTATTCTTACTCGAAAATCCTGCGTGCTTCTTGACGGCGACCCAATGGTGCTGAAGCAGCTCACCAGCGCTTGGACGAGCTGAATGATCGAGATCAAAAGTCTTTGTAAGGAAGTCCTGAGCCTCTGAAGAAATATCTGATGGTATAGCAGGTTTAGCAGATTGACCGATCTGCAAAAACGTCCATAAGAGCACGACCGACCAAAAAAAAACACCAACCTTGAAAATCGCTTGCATCTGGGTCAGTTGCGCCCATGGGTGTTCCCCAGTCAACATCTCGACAACTAAGCATCCCACGCTCCAGATATCGGCAGCCGAAGTATGCGCGGTCTGCTTAACGACTTCAGGTGCCATCCAGAACACTGATCCTTGCAATGATGGGCGATTCATCCTTTTGCCTGTGAGAAGGTCTGACAAACCGCATGCATGTCAATGTGAAGCGCCGCATGCCAAGATGAAGCTACTTTTACTCACTGCCGTCAACTTTCTTCGAGATGCCAAAGTCTGAGATTTTGATGCCGCCTTTGTTGTCAACGAGAATATTTGCTCCTTTGATATCGCGATGTATGATGTCGCGTTCGTGAAGGTAGTTAAGGCCTTGTAAGATTTGTCGTACAAAGTTTTTGACGAGAGGTTCCTCGAAAGCGCCGTAGCTACGCAACAATGCAGTGACAGAACCTCCAGGAACGTATTCCAGGAAGATGTTGAGAAAATCGTCGTCTACCGAGGAATCTTTGTTTTTCCGTGGGTGAGTTTCAATGGTATTTGAAATAGCGTGTAATGCGCGGACTTACAGAGGTACTGGACAATATTTGGGTGGGATAGATCTTTGAGAAGGTCGATCTCTCGTTCCAATGCGCTGAGCATATTCTTCTTCCGCTCCTCATTTGGAGCTGAGCCCCTTGGCAGCTCGACTTGCTTCACTGCCATCAGAAGACCGTTTACAGCATCCATACCCAAATAGACTTTCCCAAATGACCCTGCACCGATGAGTGCGCCTTTAATCCACTTGCCTAAAAAAACTCTGAAGTTAGCGCACATACATTCGCGATTGTTTTCAACTTACCACCGCTAGAGTTCATAGCCTGGCCAGTTTCATCTTCCTCCTCAACTTCCTCACTCTCATCTTCATCATCTTCATCGTCCTCGAGCACGGCATCACCCTCCGAAAAACTGATAACATCATCGATATCAGGCTCCACCTTCGTCCAGTCTTCAGCCCCCTCAACGCCCATATCAACCGCCATACTCTGTCTCCGATTTTCTACTTCAGCAGTGATCTCATCCACAGTCAATAAACTGGCAGTATCTGACCGATCACGCTTGCTCCTCAACTCAGTCATGAAACTCATCCGTTTAGACGCATTCGAATTCGACCTCGGGCGCAGAGGACCTGTAAGGTCTTCCATAGACTCTGAAAGTGATATCGAAGGAAACGTCACAGGAGGGAGTAATTGCGGTTTCGAATCAAACGAAGAGAGCTTCTCAACATCATCTCCAGTCAGGATCACCGATCGCCCGTCTTCAGTGGATATCGATACTCGTGGGGGGTCCTCACCAATCGAAGGTGCTGCCAAAGATCGGGTGTCTGGTATCGTGGAACTAGTAGAGATAGTAGAGTTCCGTTTGGAAGATATCGTTCGTGAGGGCGACATCGAGCGCTGTGCTGATCCTGAACCCTGCGTGCTGGTGCTGAATCGCGAAGGAAGAGGTGGTGGATTGAGGGATAGCGTGCTGTCCCTCTTCTCCCCACTCACGCTCGAAGCCCGGAGCATCATACTGTGCCGTGCATTCCGCAACATTTTCCTGTCTGTGAACGGAAAGTATTCCGTCAAGTGCGTTGTGATCAACTCGCTCGGCGGGCGCTGGCCGAAGAAATTGCGTAGCTTTGAAGGCTTCTTGGCGGAATTTACGGGTGGGAGCGGATGTTTTGGGTGGCTTTGGGTAGGCGATGCACTAGGGTCGAGAGCTTTTTCCGGGTCGCGCACGCCAAGGCCGCTGAGGACGCTGATAGTACTTGCCCGTTTGATTGCGCGTGCTTTCTGGCCCTGCGAATCATCGATGTTTAGGATCATGCCAGGATCAGGCTCGTGGTCGGATTCGGATGGCCTTGGTTGGATGCTGGGGGAAGTAGGACTGATGTTCCGGGGAGGGTTCTCTCCAAATATTCGCTGGAGATCTTTTGAACGTTTTGTGCGCCCGCTTTTGCGGAGCGTTAGGCCGCGTCCTTTGACAGGGTCATCGGAGGCGCTGTGGCATACTGCTAGGAGTTCTGCTTCGGAGAGTGGTTTGCCTGTCCACAAATGTCAGAGTTCGAGATTTTAAAAGAGAGAGGAATCAAACCCGAGTCATTTGTCTCGTCCCACTCTAGATATACAGACCATCCGTCTACGCTAAGTCCACCATCATCGGTCTCGACGCGGCTCATGACGTCGTTCCTCCGCGATGAGCCCACCTTGTCAGCTTTCTTGAGCACCTTCTCCATGACCTCTATACCGCCCGCACAATCAGCGACATCAACGGTATAATACCGCTGCTCTTCTGGCATGGAAAATCTAACGAGTTTACGACGGGAGGTATCCGATGGGGTATTATGAGCGGAAGGATTGAACGGACCGCGTCCGACTGCGAATGCAGGGGGTGAGGAGGACCCTGATGACGAAGCTGATGTTTGCCCTTGGAACGACTCCACGATCGGGGAAAGGGCCAATCCATTCTGAGCGGGGGCCTGTAAAGATGGAGGGGCTTGGACAGATGCATAGGGATGGGCACTGGTTCCAGTCGTGGAAGGCCTAGGAGGAAGTTTTGAATTCGTGGGGGTAGGTGCAAGAGGGGAAGGGATGCCATTAAAAGAGATGTTCCTGTTATGTGCGACGTTGATGGAACGTGGGGATGATCGCGAGCTCAGGGGAGAGGGTGATTTGATTGGGGATGGACCTGATCGAGGATCTGGGGGGAGACCAAATGACCAGCTGTTTGATTGAGATGGAGTTGTGAGCATATTTGAGGGGGTGGGCGTTGGTGCTGGTGGAAGGGGTGAGTTGGCATAGTTGGTTGCGTCTGGTTGGTTAGGGGTGCGAGTGCGTGGGCCGGTGACGGAATGGAGAGTGCGGGAGGTTCCGCGTGGGGGCTGAGGTGGTTGACCTCTTGGTGCGGGAGGAAGGGGTGGCAAGGATGGACGGGGAGTGTAGCTGGTTGGTGTTGTGGACTGGCTGATTTGCGGAAGTGGACGGATTGTGGAAGGGTTGCGTATTGAGTCGCCAGACTGAGGTTCTCGAATGATGCGGGGAAGATCCGGGCGTCCTGAAGTTGGAGATAGTACTAATGGAGCAGGTCTGTTGCTATCGAGACGCTTGTGTGATGTGCGAGAGGTCGGCGAGGGCTCTCTAGAAGTGGATAGCTCTTGCGAGCTGGTGCGTGAATGGGAATGATCAGCTGGAGGTTCCCTTGAAGATTCTGGAGGAAGAGAAGCCAAGAAGGCCCTGGTATGGGCGATAGCAGAGAGAGAAGATGTAGCGCGCTGTGAACACTTTGACCTCAAATTCTTGACGCCATTGACGATGCGAAGCCTGTCTCCGATACTGGAGATACCCATCTCTTTAAGAGTGTCCTGGTCTAGCTCTAATAGAATATCACCACGAATATCATTATTCTTGAAGGCGGGGATATGTGCACTACATTTATTATCTGCGAGCCATCGAGCGACGTGGACGTCATTCCAGGTGCGCATGAAATCTGAAAATGTGGTACCGTGAGGCGGGTCTAGTATGGACATTGATGAAGTGAGAGTGGTGAAGGAGCGGGAATCTGAGCGGGATTTGATGTCTGTAGTTGTGGCAGCCATCAGTATAAGGCCTGTGCCGACTGAAAATTGGTAGCGCTAGTACTGCAGTACAGAACGGCCGTACAGGTACTCTAGCTGTGCTAGTACCCGCGTAGTGAAGTTCTTGTCTCATTTTTTTTTGTAAGAGCGTGGGATATGATTAGTTACTTAACATATATAAATTTTGATTTTCACACAGCTGATGCATATGTCTCGGCATGCATGCATCGGTCACTACGCGTTTATTAGAACCTTGGCGTGATCGACTTAACCATGTACCTGACCGAACCGAACGAACCAGTCTGATTGACCTAGGCCTGCCTGTCACGGGGGCAGTGCGTGGCCCTTCTTCGGATTCTTCAAACTTCTCGTATGTATAACGTATTTTCACCCCTTCTTTTCTACGTTCACTGTCTCTTCCTGGAACCCCCGACTGGAAATCCCCATCCCTGTCAAATAATATCATTTTCTCCACTGTTCCTCTCCTTCAGGTGATCCAAGATGCGGTTCCTAACCGCCCTTGCTTCATCACTATGTTTTTCTTCAATGACATACGCTTCCCCTTATCGTCCAGACCTCACATCCTACAATCTCAATGTAAACCAATCCGCTCAGTCCCCTACAGATTATTCAACCACGAGATCAAATACAACCTACACCCCTTCCCCACAGAACTGGCGTTCAATTCCAGTATACACAGTCCTTATGGACAAGTTTGCTGATGGCGACCCTACAAATAATCAATTCTTTGCCTCACCATACGAATGGGATTGGAGAGAAACCCAACTTCGTTTCGGCGGTGACCTCAAAGGAATAACCTCAAAGCTCGACTACATCCAAGGTATGGGCGTGAAAGCCATATATCTCTCAGGTACAATATTCTTGAACATGATATGGCAAGCCGATAGTATGTTCTCATCTCAATCTCATTTACCACTCATACTCACTTTTTTTTATAGGTTATTCTCCTCTCGACTTCTCTGTATTGG